TAGTAATTTAAGATACAAGTGTATAATCAAGTCTTTAAAAGCACGCGCAACGAGTTTAAGGGCAGACGCAAAAAAGCGGAGTGGCCTTTAACGTTGCAAGTGCTTTAAAGACCAATTATACAACGTGTATTCTTATTAGTATTTTTATTTAATACCTGCAGTATAATTTAAAATAGGAAATACAATGAAATGCATATGACGTTATACACTTCGAATACCATGTCTAATTAAGTGGCTGGGTGTTTGTAATTTCACGATTGCCATGGAAATGTCACTTGACGTTTGCTTATAAAAATCATCGTCTTTGCGATTAAAACGATTTCCGTTGAAAAAGATAATACAACCGTCCATTAAATCGAATTGTTGTGAAATCTAAACAAACGTTGGTTAGGTGTAAAATCCCCAAAGAGATTGGGTGAGCGCCCTCCCCGCCCCCCCGCCCACGGGTTTTAAGTAAAAAAAAAGGCCCCCCCCGCCCCCCTAAGACACTAACAGCTTGTTTATGGGGAACGCTCGAAATAATGAAAAAAAGGGAAACACATGAAAAGTTGTTTCCATGGATGGAATAGGAAGTTAACCTTACGAATAAAGTCTTAAATGCATCCGCTGGCATATATGAAGGAAATGTCAAAGGTAAATTTAAATCTTCCTATAATTTGGTGCATTCAATTCAAAACTTTAATGCAATGCTGCGATTAAAAAGTGGAACCGATTTGGAAGCATAAACCCTAACATTACCGCGTTTGTGAAAGCTTCAACAAAAGGAATAGGTAAAAAGCCAAAAGAAATGTTCTGCATTTACATAACAGCGACCTAAGAGGAGTTGTTGTAATTTTCATCCAGATGAAAGTTTCACAAGTCATACTTGAAGTATCGTTACTTAGCACTTTAAAAAGCAACGTGTGGTTTAAAAGGCCCTTTTTCCGCACGCATTCGAGTGTTTAAAACGGAGAATTGTGATTCAGGTATAATAAATGTTTTTTTTGGCAACTCCTTCGTTTCTAAATCGCGTTTTTCCCAATAACACGAACGTCGGGAACGTCAAGTTTAAACACTGACTATCTAACTTTCGCGCACTAGTGCCTAAAAATTCAACGAATTATCTATTTAGCGGCGGAATCATAAAACCAATAAGTAAAGTATGATGGAAAGAGTAAAAAAGAAATATATAAAATACAACCCTTTACATCCATTCCCTGTAGTACGGGGCAAAAATAAGCCTTAAATCATGAAGTTTTTGGACAATTAATTGACATTTTAAAAATTTCTTAGTTTCTTAACTTTAATCGGCATAGAGGACTTGATTTTTTTCAAAAAGAATTATAATGGGCGCAAAAATCATCGCGAAAAGGATTTGAATTTATATAAATCGATTTAACTAATCCGTGCAAAAATAAGAATACTTTTTACGTGCGTGAACAGTGTTTGCTTGATTCGCCCGACATGCGTCGCTCCGTGCGCGTTGCGCACTCGCGCCGTCCACTTCGCGCTCAATCTGCAAAAATAACTGTTCCGGCACTAATAATGTAAATAACTTATTTTATTATACTGAATCACAATCTCCGTTTTTAAAAAACACTCAAATCGCGTGCGAAAAAAGAAGGGCAGAAAAAGCAAGTAAATAATATTGAATTCTAATTCTATTTACATCTAAATAAAATTGCGTTTCTGACCGCGATTGCTACTTTAGATTTCTTAATAACCCTTTTTGGTTCCCCACGGTTAAATAAATATACCGCACTTACGTCATGAACAACCTTGCTCGGAATGCGTAACAATACACCACATCCACACAAGCACTAAAAATGAGACCTCTGGCCCGTATGAATAAAGAGCAAATGCCTATACTTACAAAATTCAAAAAAGTAAATACTCGTAACTGCCCCTCATACTGGTCGTTTAGCATGGTTTTAGCAGCGCTAGGCACTGCGTCCTGTCCTGACGCTCAGCAGCGCTGCTAAGTTCGCCCAGTGTGAAATGTTATGTATTATCTTTGAATCAGTACCGAATAAGGATAACACCTCAGAATGTATTTTCAGTTTTATTATCGTGATGCTTGTGATACAAGATGTATAAGAATGCTAATTTTTCTAAGGAACCCTTTCGGTAACTTACATGAAGGTTTACCGCCCTACGTAACTTGAATAGCATTCTATTGAAAACATATGGTTTGCCGCCTCGTAACTCCCGAATACATTGGCGAAGGAATGGTCAGAAAACCCATAACTCAGCCAGTCAAGGAGCAATTACGAAGTATTTAACTTTGAATTTGCAAGTATAAGCATTTTGCTTCCTTTTTATTCATAATGGGACCCTGTCTGTTTTCTAATTTCTGTATAGGAAATCCCGTTACAAACATTGAACTTCAGTCGCCGCAAAAAAGTTTCTTAAAGCTCGATCGCGGTCTCCTCTTGTCACGTGTCTTTAACGCATGAGAAGTTGACCCATAAAATGAATACTATTTTGTTCCAGGGTTATTTACCGAAATCCAACAAAATGACGGGTGAACCGGTACGTCGAAGTGGATCTCGACAAAGCAAAATATGTAGCCCCCGACAATATCTTATTGGATGGTGGAGTCAAAATTTGGCAATAGAATACTGATCTGCCACCCTTAAAATGCGCTGAGGTCCTTCCGTCTCTCAATTTGAGGACTATTAAAAAACTTCTTCCAATAAGTTTTTTATAAGTGGCACATCTGGGACATATCAGTAATTTTCTCTCAAAAAACATTAACAACTCCTTCGGGGGTAGCCGGGAGTCCGAAAGATTGCAGCTTGCTTTATACCGCGTTTAATCCTCAAAGAAAGGGATTCTTAGTAGATTCATTTGGTGCTATGAATTCAGTCTAAATTTTTGTTTATAAACAACAGAACCGCATTTCCAGTCCCTAAATACCAGTTGGTGTTTTCCTGTAGCTTACAGGCCAGTGCTGCCTCATTTCTTTTTTTAGTTGTGGACTGGAAAAAACTTTACTACGAATATTTACAGAATTGCTTATATTTTGGGGATTTTTAGGGGTCCGTTAATAGCCCCCACTGAGATATTTGATAGTCCGTATTATTTTAAAATGAATGCGCTCGTTATGCGCTCATATGCGCCACATAATAACTCTTGCGCCATTATCGTTTTTTACAAAATTCCGAAAAACATGGGGGGGGGCAAGTGAACGCAGCCCCCCCAGTACGTATTTTTCGCTTGTACAGGGTCACCTGATACATTTGGTTATGCGCTCAATTGAGCCACTTGAATAAAGCTAGCGCCACTACGATAGCCGTGACAAATTTTCAAAAGCGGGGGGGGGCCAACTAACGTTTTTTAAAAAGTTACTTTTTTTTAAACATCTTTTCAATACGGGCGCAATTGTAACTTTCAGATATGCGCTGAAATGCCGCCGTAAAAAGATATCTTTGGCGCCATTTTGTTTTTTGGTTATCCTTAATATATTTGGGAAGGGCCCAAGTGAACGGAAACCCCATAACGCATTTTGCTAACGGTCTTTGTGCCACTTGATAACCTGGTATGCGCTCAATGCGCCACTTTGAATTAAAGCTAGCGCCCAATTACGGTTAAGCCATAACAAAATTTTTAAAAAAAAGTCACGCTACGTTTCATTCGCCCCCAATGTTTATTCCGGATTTCTAAAAAAACGATAATGGCGCAAGAAGTTATTATCGTGGCGCAATAATGGCGCATAACGAGCGCATTCATTTTAAAATAAATACGACTATCAAATCTCTCAGTGGGGGGGGCCAAGTTTACGAATCCACAATTAACAATATTGTTCACAGGGACATTCTAAGGTCTTAATTAGCACCGATGCTGGTTTAAATGGCCTACGTGGCTTTTGCAGACCTTGGGGGGAAATTTTATTACGTGTAGAGTTGATTGTCTATACCCATCTATTCTATGCAATGACATGGTTTTTTTAAGTTTACACAGCCCATCGTATACATTCTTCTCTGACCCGGGCTAATTGCCCTAAGGACATTCTTTAGACTCTTTCATATTTCAAACTAACCTTAAGAGATCTTCCGATAACACCGGTGGTCATAACTATACCAGGCGCGAATTCACTTGATACTATATTTTGCAGTCTCATATCCGGATGGATATGACTAAAGTGTTGATGAAGATGTAAGGAGCAATTCTCTGATAGAGGGCGTTCGATGCGGTTTCCTTCACTATCGTACACAGGAGCATTTAGACACCTCCAAGAGCCACCGTGATCATATGTAATCAAAGTAACGACGTGGGCTAAATCCAAATCATTTCGTACTGTAAGTTGGGATGCGATATAGACACCATTTACACCTTTCACCTTATAAACATCAGCAAACACGTCATCAACCCTAAAAAATGTTCAGTAAACCTGCAACCAATTTTATGAACTTACCGGGCAAGCCATGTATTCTGCCAAGTTTTCTTGGGAAAATGACACATTATTCCTTCAAGAGAAAGGTAGAAACGTACGTCATCGTCTTTGTTGAGGTCTTCTGATAAGTACAAATGTGACAATGCGTCTGTATGTCTAACAGCAACTAACACTCTGGTACTGGTAACATCCACAACATAGAAATCTTGACTGTTCAGCCCCGGCGGAACATCAAAAGTACATTTCCTGGGTTTACCCAATTTATGTGAAACAAACAGATCTGATCTATCCTAAAAATGTGCAAATGAACAATTATCTACGATCTTAATTTCATTACGGCCTTACCTCACTATGTTTACTTGTAAAAAAGATGTAATCTCCTTTTGTATAAATCACATCCAGAACATTAGTTGCTAGAAGTAGAGTTTAAATCTTTAGTGTAACTAATGTTACTAGCTACTGTACTATAAAATACAAGTTTGGGCTCTTGGTTTTCATCTCGGCTCCAGGAAAATAAGTTCGCGTCCCCGTCCCACAATCTCCATCTATTCCCAAAATCATCAGTTATCCACAACTGTAAGCGATTTAGTTAAATATAAAATTATAGTATTCGTAGTTACCTGGGACTGTAATTTTTGCACTGCTAGAACCCTGTCGGGAAGAAACTCGTGAAATAAAACGTCGTTCGGTGTAAAATCCAGATCTGTCCGGGTTATGGTTTTCCCATTATCCTTCGTCATGAAAATTACATTGTTGTATACATCAGTAAAAACAATCTAAAAAATCCTCTTCAAATACGCGCATTAAGTGAGCATCCTTACTCTAGACTCGTATTTGGAATAAAAGAAAAAATTATTGATTCTGGCCAAACTTCCATTGTTTAATTTGAATAAATGAGTTTTGTCTTCGTAACTGTCGCCGTAATCATAGGAAATGTATATTCTGTTGGTTGTGTTTGAAGCATTGGATGGTGCTGATGTCGCATTTTGTGTAAGACAAATTATAACTATGCTTCCGTTACCAACCAAATGTACCATAATTTGCTTGTTTGGGTCGTTGAGTTGAGTAATCTGAAACGAAAACAGGTCAGGCATATTCTATAAAGTCTACTTATATCTGTTTTTTTTATTCTATTAAGTGCCCGGGTGGACTCCATAGAAAAATTTAGCAAGTGATTAATTCGTGTTAAACGGTTGAATGTACCACAACATTGTAACACTATTTTCTTGCTGATTGATACTGTTAATTAATCTTCGATTGTTACGTTTTATTTCAATCCTTACGCAATGTAGGTGTTTTCTTTGCAATCCACTAGTTTAGATGTAAATTATTTCTGTAGTAGATTTCTCATTATCTTTGTTCTTTATTTTCGTTGTTGTAATTTCTTATTGCTATAGTTATCAGTGCCGTTGCTATCTCTTCTTTAATTCAGTATTGCGCGTGTATTTCCCCTTAAGTGAAATTTCTGCCACCGAGTTGAGTAGATGTGAATTTTCTCTTGGTAACCATTACTTATATGACTTCGCGTCTGCCTGAAAGGGTTATAGCTTTACCATATTTATCTTTGAAGTGGTTCTCTCTTTCTCTTTGATGTCTTGGTGACTCCATCGAAACGTTTTTACGGATCTGTGATTTGCATCTGAACAATTCGTGGTATGTTACATTATGATGCAACATTATTTTCTCATTTCCTGTTATTTTTAGCGCATTTCCACAAAAATAAAAAAAAAATGCGCTATTGTGGCCACTTTGTCCGTCCGTCCGTCCCCTCGTTTTGCGACGCTACTAGTTCTTTATCTTAAGAGCTATTGTTCTATTTTTTTCGCTATTTGGTTCGTTATGGTGTCGAGTCTTGTACCAAGGAAGGAATTTTTTCTCTACCGCTTACAAAAAAAGTTATTGTAAAAAAAACAAAAAACCGTTTTTTGCATGTTCCATAATTTTACACTTTTGCCGTTTATTAACGATCCTAGAGATCGTTTATAATTTTGCATTGCTATCTGTCGTCTGCCTGTTGGTCTGTCCGTCTGTTCCTTTGTCTGTCTGTCAATCTATCTCTCCGTGTGAACGATAACTTTGTTTAGAAATGTTCGATCGCTTTTACATCTCCGTTAGTTATGAACTGAATTGCATGAAATTCAATATGGGCATAGCTTTAGCCATATATAATAATAATAATAATAATAATACTTTATTAGTGTAGTTTATCACAAGATATTTACACAAGTCAAATTACAATAATAATGGACAGTTATAAGAATTTAATTTCGAAAAATTCATCAATGGAATACAGAGGATTACTTATCAGTGTTCCTTTTATGCGTTTTTTAAATAAGTTTGTGTTCAGACTCTGTATATGCTTAGGTATCTGTTGTAAAACCTTGCAGCCATAATAATTAGGTCCATATTTGAAGTGGATAGCCTCAGAAAGTCATTACACAAGTTCTCACTGTTCCGGGATTGTATGCATGAAAAGTCCTTATGAGTGTTTAAAACACTGTAAGTTAGCTTCGCATAGCATAGACACGAATTATACATATAATGAATAAAAATTTCATTAATACCAAATTCATATAAACATAGGCTTACAATTCGCTCTATAATACGGATAGCTCTCCTCTGCAGCGAAAACACACTTTTGGCAGTAGGAGCATGGCCCCAAATAGCAATGCCGTATGCCATATGCGACTGACAAAAGGCGAAGTACGCAATCCTTAGCACATTAGGGGGATACATAGTTCGCTAAGTTACGTAGCGCAAAGATGTTGCCTTGTTAACTTAGTCGAGACATAATTCATATGCTCATTCCAGCGTAGTTGGCAGTCCATACGCATACCTAGGAATATTGCTATTATGACTAAATTTACCAGTGGTCGTAAACGGTCTAAGTTGCAAAAATAGAGGTCTGAGTTTTATTACGATTTCAACGTAAGTCATTAGCGGCGAACCACATTTCGGCATCGTTAATTGCAAGTGAACTCTTGGAAATAGCATCGTCTAAACTATGACTGGACCACATTCAATGTAGTGTCGTCGGCAAAAAAATATAGAAAGTGCTCTACTAGAGTAAACGGGCATATCGTTAATGTATTAAAGAAACAGGAGCGGTCCTAGGACGGAACCTTGAGGAACTCCTTGTCTTAAAATGAGCCAAATTTGGATATTGAATTGCCAATTTTTACTGCTTGCGTCCTATTGAAGAGAAGTAGGATTGTATAAGTTTAATTCGCCATATTGTTTAAACCATATTTTTTAAGTTTCTGTAGCAAGACATTGTGATTAACACAGTCAAAACGCCTTGCTCAGGTCACAAAAGGCTGAAACAGCATATTTACCTTGCTCGAAACACAAAACGGCGTTTATTGACAAATGTAATCAGTGCGTCGGTTGTCGCTTTTCCATTGCGGAACCCGTACTGATTCGTGTAGAAGAGCTTGTTCGTTTCAAAATAGTGTCGTAGACGTTTTTCGACAATGCGTTCAAATATCTTGGAAAAAACAGGCAGGAGTGAAATGGGCCTATAATTTGACGTTGCCTTTTTTGAATAGGGGTAAAACAAGTGCCACCTTTAGGCAGTCAGGAAAGGTACCGGAACGTATGCAACCATTTATCAACAATGTTAGCGGACTGATAAACATGTTGATATTTCTTTTTATTAGGTACGAGTTCATCCCATAGATGTCTTTTGCTCTACTCGCCGATAATGATGTTATCGCGTCTCTGACGTCATTAGGGGTAACATAGTCAAAACTTAGAGAGATATTGTTTGGTACGATAATATTAAACATAGAAAGGGGTTCATTTATATGAACACTATTGTGGGATAATCGGCCCTATGCTGTATCACTATCGCTAAGAATAACGATATCGTTATGCGGCGTTACCATAATTTTTTAAAAATCAGTATGCTGTATCACTCATAAAAAGAGTGGGATAACGACTATCGTAATTCTCTATCGTTATTTTGCAAACATAACCAGAGAAACTTAACGGTAGGGTGCATGCTATCCGTTTGGCGCGTAACGGTCCTGTCATCGATTCGTTCGGAGTTTAAGGGGATGTTAAAGAGAAAGAAAATGAATAATTGCAAGGATTTTTGCAAGTAGCTTTGTTCGGGCAATTGGAAAATGTAATAGGGAGGTGAGTTCTGTGCCTTTTAATACTCGTAGATTATGTTTTTATTGAGACATGAGGAAAACATCCAACGAAGAATTTTACGAGACAACAGTGATCCGTTTCAGCTGGGTGAAATTGATTTTCAAAAAAATTTTCGTTTACCAAGAGAATCTGAATGTACAAATGGTAAGGACTAACAGCAGCATGTTTCAATGAAAATTTGTTTAACATGCAGATTTGTGATGCGAACATAAAAATCCTGAATTGTAATGCACGGTTTCCAGGATCTACTCACGACTCTGCAATATGGGATATGAGTGCGGTGAAAAGGCACCTGGAAGAAAAGTATTTAACCAATGAGTTACATTCATCTTGGTTAATTGGTGAGTGTGGCTGTTGTGACCTAACAATTTTGCCCTTTTACAAACTTGTATAGGTGATTCAGGATATGCACTGCAGCCATGGTTGTTAACGCCAATAGAAAATGCAGAGGCAGACCCACTTTCACCACAGGGAAGATACACTACACAACACATTTTAGCCAAGAATGTAATAGAACGCTGTTTTGGAGTGTTGAAGCAAAGGTTTAGATGCCTCTTGAAGTACAGAGTTCTTCATTACTCCCCTGACAGATTTGCGAAAATTGTGTGGTGCTGTGCATTGTGCAATACTCCATAATATTGCGATACAGGAGAACTTACCACCACTCGAGGATAATGAAGGTGATGTAGATATACCTCCACAGAATATGAGAGAAAATGAAGGTATTTGTACCTAATCCTCTAAAAAAAAACAAACTGTTGTATGGCCTCTTATTATTCTCTTCGACATTCGCCATGTCGTGAAAAACCAACTAGGTAGGTACATTTACAATTAATAATAATAATTTTAAAGAAACGTCTGCATTTCCAAATCTGGCGGGTATTTGTTTTAAGATTAAGCGCCCTCTTATATTTGATCGCTGTGGATTTCACTCTTACACGCACTGCCGTTGCGCAGCGTTCTTTGTTTTCTAGAATGCGACACTTTTTTCCGAAATAGCCACTGCGAGATACCGGACAACGTAACGATACCGTTAAAATATTGATACAGCATATCGCGTTTATCGATAGTCGTTGTGGTCATCATAACCTTTGATCGTTAAACTGCGATAACGATTGATCGTATAGAATAACGAGAGTGATACAGCATAGGGTTGAATATCTCGTTCGGTATATTAACAAAATATTGGTTCCATTGGTCAGCAGAGTATAGATCAGTAATAACCTTAGATTGGCCTTTTTTTGCATTAATAATATCCCAAACCATCTTTGATTTGTTACTAGCATTAGTAATGACGTTATCATTTGAATGTATTCGGGCAATACGAACTGCAGCTCGGTAAGCACTTCTGTAGCGAGTATAGGCCGATTTTAAGCCAATCGAACCTGCCAAAGTGTACATTTCATGTAGTAGTTTGAGCGTGCTTCTCACTAGTTTTAATTCTGGCGTAAACCATGAGATACCACTGTCCCAGCGTTTACTTTTAGTTATCCTAATAGGAAAACATTCCATAAAAATTGCGACAATATGATCTATAAATTTAGAGAATTTATCGTCACTGAAAGTGTGATCATATAAGTAATTAAAGTAATACGCAATGCCAAAAGTTGAATCGAATCGATTCAAAATTCACAGTGCCCTTTTCGCATCTCGACCATTTATAAACCGAATTGCAAACTTTTTTACTTATGAAAGTATTTGAATGAAATTTGATACATAGGCACTTGGAATAAAGGAAAATCAAACGCAAATTTCAAAATTTGGTTTTGCGCATGCGCAGTGCCAACTTTTTTTATTTATGGAAGAATTTAAACGAAATTTGATACATAAGCACTTCGAATAAAGGAAAATCAAACGCCAATTTCAAAATTTGGTTTTGCGCATGCGCAGTGCCAACTTTTTTATTTATGGAAGAATTTAAACGAAATTTGATACATAGGCACTTGGATAAAGGAAAATCAAACGCCAATTTCAAAATTTGGTTTTGCGCATGCGCAGTGCCAACTTTTTTATCTATGGAACCATTTAAGTGAAATTTGATACTTAGGCGCTTGGAACAAAGGAAAATCTAACATTAGTTTTAAAATTTAGGTTTGCGCATGCGCAGTTTTTCTTATTTAGAAAAGCATTGAAATGAAATTCTTCTCATAAACTGAAATTGAAGTAGCACGTCAACAATGGATTGCCCATGTGCAACGCTATCTTTCATATTTGTGGCCGGATTTTTACGATTTTAACAAAAGTTGCATCTTTGGGAAATGAATGCAAGTGGAAATGCGCTTTATGTAAATCGTTTACGATTACTTTTTAACTTGTTAGAGCTTAACCTTCGCTCAAGTTTTATTACCTTTAACTGTCTCACTTTTCTCTCACAAATTTCCTTTAAGATACTTGTTTTGGATTTCTTTTTATGTTTGACCTACTTGGATATTTACGCATTACAGACGCAGTAAGTGCTGTTTTGTGCTTTTCCAACGATTGACCTTTCCAAGAAAAACGAAAAAACTAAAATATTTTGTGAAGTTGGCCCCAGCCATTACTCGTTTTAAAGAAAAAGGTAAAACGTTGGAATCGTAATCTTCGAGCACAAAACAGCACTAACGATCGTATGCGGATTTTTTAAAATACGAATTATGGGTCACAAAATATTTAAATTTTTTTCGTTTTTGAAATGCAGAAATCACAATTTAGGAGCAGTGAAAGAATTTGAAATACTGTTTCTTTGGCATTTAACAGCACTAACACCGTCTGCGTTCATTATTTCGATAAGTAAAAATTAAGTGTGAAGTTGACCCCGCCCCTGTTATTCTTTTTTTTCTCTAGTTATGTAACAGCACTAACGATAAGCTTCGAGCACTAAACAGCACTAACTGTGGACACATTTTTGTCAAATATTTCATGTGGACGGGGCCAACTTCACATGGGCTTTTTATTGTATGGTAGGTATACCTACCTGTGTTGAATGATTGCGAGTAGGTACATTACCTTACTGGAGACTGTGCCATTGAAATTAGAATCCTTCTTCGCGTCATTAGTAAGACCTTCAACTTCAAGCCACGGCTTTGCCCTCACGCTTACAAATAATACAGTTATTAACACCCAAATAGTCGGCATTGCATGTAACACCATGCTGCTGACTTCAAAGAAATTCGCTTGCGACTAAATCAAATCAGGAACATTACGATAACCCCAATAGACATGCGATGACAAATAAGTAAATTGGAAATACCCATTTCCAATTAGGCGGACGGGATATCTCATATCTGTAGATGGACTAAGTTATTCCCTTTTTTATTGTAAACATTATACTAAAAATAAATATGTTAATATAAAAACGGGCCTTTCAAAGTGTCAACCATTGAATAACGATTTCACTCAAAGGTAAGTATAATCAAAGTGAAATAAATGCAAGGTCGTCCGAAGAGAAGACTAGGTATTCGCTATCGATATAAGTGAACAGTTTCAAGTCAAAGTACTTATTCTATTCCAGTTTTAAGTTGTTGGTAATGTCCTCGGATAAATCGTTGTTTGGTCAAGGGTCATGCGGGTCAAGGTTTTTGTCTTTTTCGGTTAATTTTACAAGTCGAAAAAAATGATTAGTCTATTATTACCTTTCTAGGGCGAGCTAGGTGGCTATTGCGATCGCCGTTTTTTGGAAATCAAATTTCATCAAATGTCGACGTTTTACATCATTGTAAGCAACTTTTAATGCGTTGATAATTTTCCAAGGTATAAGGGCTGGACCGATTTTGTTCAAATTTTGGAAATGTAGGTATAGGCACAGATAAAATACCCAATGTGGTATAGGTATATACGGAAAAGAACAAGTATAAGTTGTGCCCGATCACTATAAGAGGTCGAGGGCTATGATGATTGGTAGAAATTAATTCCTTTCGTTGAGACCTTTCATTAGAGTACCATGAAGGGTAGAACATGTGTTCCCCCCCCCCCATTTGCTAAAGTTTAACTTGGCACCACTAAAGGCATGCGTATACAAAATCTGAGACCAATTGGTTGTCGTATGTAAAACTTATGCACGTTTTACTTTCAAAAACAATATCTCAGGACATAATTCGTGGGTGGGCCCCCCTTTTAGAAAGAGAAATTTGATGGCCGTCTGGCACACCTTCAAGGTATAGGCTACCTACTGCAAAAAATTCCAGGACTCTAGGACCATTCCCCTAGAAGTAGTTCGAAACGGTAGAAGTGGGTCCGGACGGACGGACAAAACGCAAATAATAGCACTTTTTTTTTAATTCTTAAAAAATGCGCTAAAAATAACACATCGGATTTGTGAAAATCATTTTAGAGCGCCGCGCCGCCACGGCATCGAACTTTTTTTTTCAAATAGGAATCTAAAATTGTTATTAAATTTTTCGAAAGACCTTATGTTTCTGTGACCAACCTACAAAAATTATCCAGGAATGGGATTCATGGACTTTAGTTGTAAAGAAAAGCAACGGAAGACACGCAAGACATAATGAATTAAATAACATTATATGCCGAAGTCTGCAATCCGCCAACATTACTTCTATTTTAGAACCCCCAGGTCTCTGTAGAAGTGATGGTAGAGTAGACGAGTAGATGGTTCAACTCTTATTCCATGAAGTAAAGGAAAAATCCTGATCTGGGATGCTACAGTACCAGACACTCTTGCACCATCATATATGTATTCACTCCTCTTTCAAAGAAGCTGGTACAATTGCAAAACAAGCTGCTAAAAGAAAACTAAACAAATTTAAGGACCTCGTCGCAGATAATTACTTATTCGTTCCCTTTGCTGTCGAAACTCTTGGACCATGGTGTGATGAAGCAATATCATTCATTGAAGCTATAGGAGCGTTAATTAAACTTAAAACCTACGACAGTCGTTCAACATTATTCCTAAAACAGAAGATTAGTATCGCTATTCAAAGAGAGAATGCAAGTTGCATTATGGGAACTTTCAACAACAATTCTTTCAAGCTAGAAGAGATTTTTTATTTACTTTGAATATTGATTATTTATGAAATGCGTTTTGAATTAAAATTTTAAAAAAACGCTACGTTTTGTTATAAAAAATGTTCAAGTTAAAAAACAAAAATATTTTTTCCTGAAAACGTTTATTGTGATTTAGTTAAAATTTTGGCAGTGTACATTAGATATAAAGGATCTAACATTGTCAAAACTTTTTTTTGTAAATGAGTTTTTAGCTGTTTTTTCAAATAGTAACCAACATTTTTCGAATGGTTACCCATTCAAATACGAGGTATTAACCGGGAGCAACGTTGTTTGACTGTAGTCATAAACACAAACAAAAATTAAAAAAAGCGCATGAAGTCGTAACACAACAACATGGAGTCCGAGGTATTTACGATAGAAAATATTATCATAAAAAATTATCGCCAACTAATTAGAATTATTAATTTAATAAGGGGTAAACCTAGGGGTAAACTTTGTTTTTGTCCGAGTATAACAATGGAATTCGGAACGAACGAAAATAAATAGTGGAGTATATCGTTAAGTACCACCTTTACAGTGGTAACAGTTATATAGGTACGATAGTTTTGAAGCAAGCATTTTGGCCTAGAATATATATCAGTTTCAGGGGATGATTTATTGGGGTATAAATGCATAAGCGAGACCAACTGGGATGTTGCCGTGGGTGTAGCGGTGATTTCTTTTCTGAGCTGCGAGGATCACTTCCGTAATTTTTTATTTCATCAATGTTACTGTAATTCATTTACATACAGGGTGTCATTTGACACTTAAACGTGAGATCAGATACAGGAAGGATGGAACTTAAAGATGAAAGCGTGAAGTGAAAGTTTTCCAATCAAACAGTATAAAATTGCGAAAAGTGAATAAAAAATGGCGATGCCATTTAAAATAACAAAGTTTGTGTCGACTTCCCGTCTTGAAAATGTCGCGTGTCCCTCATCAATATACAGTACGTTAATTTTAACTCTGAACATACAGTCCTCCTATGTTCAATTCCTAAATATACAAGTCAAATACCTCTTAACATATGCAACCAATCTTACCTACTTTCATTTTTCTCGAATGTTTTTCAAATAAACTCCAATATCTGAATTGTTTATTATATTAAGATTATTAATTGTATTTTTAATAAAATGTATACAATAGGAAATGTTTCAGATGTATTTCAATAACCACAAAATTTATTTACTGCTAAATGTCCCAATACGCAAGTTCCGTCAATTGGCACAATTCACAATAGCATTAAAACATTTAATGTTGATGGTTGAATTGTTAAGGATCATTACACCAGAAAAAGAACTATCCGTGTTTTACAGAAGTAAAGTTAAATATGTTAGCGGACGTAGAAGAAAATCCAATTAGATCACTGTTTGTAATTTAGCTACAGAATTTGAAATTTCACACAAGTCCTTGTTGAATTTAACAATTCGCCGCAAATGAGTGAAATTCCAGTAACGGGAAATAGCTTGTAAAGACAGTATTCACAGTTAATAAGTCAAATCTGCTAAACAAATCTGTCGAAAAACTAAGTTTCACTGCTGTTATTGAATAAACTTAATTTTTTATTGACTGCTGCTGTGACATTTGTGTGTAAAGTGGGTTGCATATCTCTCAGGGATAGCAGTTTATTTATTTTTTGCTTTATTTTTGAGTGGGCGGGGTTTCATCCAAGGCTGCTCTACTAACCCAACCCAGACCCACTATACATGTACAAATATCCGTATCCGAACCGCAGTCCAGTTTCAACTGAACTGCATCTTGAGTTTTTCATAGCTCAATATCTGAATAGAATAAACTGAACAAACCTAGGAACAAACTGTGGTCAAATTGTGACCCGATAAGGGCTGCATCGAGAGACTCATGGGCTTACAGAATTATCGATTTCTACCACCAGTGGCGTATCCAGAAATTTTGTTCGGGGGGGGGCTCGAACTTTTAAATACATAAAACAATTTTTTACAAGACGAAATTTAATTTCCTATTTTTTTTACATTCTACGAATTTATCAATTACCATGTCATCGGTAATCACAATATCTCTATGGATTGCTAATAATGCGAGCCCTGTGAGTCTAGCTCCCGATGTCGTGCTGCGCAAGTACGTTTTTAATAGCCTGAGTGTTGAAAAACTCCGCTCCGCCGTCGCTGTAGTAACCGGAAGCACGGCCAATATATCCTTTCCTTATTGGCAGAAAATATTAAGATGATTGGCAACTTTTCGGGGGAGGGGGGGGGCTGCAGCCCCTTCAGCCCCCCCTCTGAATACGCGTCTGTCTACCACCGAATCTGGCTTTCATATCTTAAACTGAACATTTACTTTACGTTTGATTAATCGAGCGTAAACAATGGTTTCGAGTTTTCTGCCACTTATGTAGGCGAGTGCCTACTAAGCCATACTACTTCCACTACCTCACCACCTATCCGAATGGCTCTATCTTTAGGGGCAGATTTTAATAATTAAATATATTGGCTTTGTAAGCCATTTTGGCTTGTATGCAATTTTATGTCTCCCGATAATTGTAGAGCCAGGATTTCGGTCTTACGAGTGAACTTATTGTAACGTGATTTATAAATTCGGGTTCGATTTATATCAATACTTATTAAACAAAACTAAAACACTATAAAAACCGGACAATTTATATCGATTATTTATATCACACACTTCGCAATTTATATTTCCGCGCTCGATGTTTCATACGTACTCGATCTCGTTCGGTAGTAAAACTGCCGCGATGTTCGGTGCGCAACCATTTATACACGCAAGCAATGTAAGTCCAGAACATTCGCGTAATTACCAGATACGTTGCAAACATTCCCACTATTGCGCGCCTAGAAAATTCCAGAGCGCCAAAGGCGACGTCATGTCTGGAGCGTTTCCGTTACATTATAAATGACAATAGTCAGGATTTATTAACTACGAGAACGCGGACTGGTATTAGAGGTTAAAATGGACAGTGGTTTACAGAACCAATTTTGAGGCTCGACCGCCGCACTGATGGTATAATAATAATGTCTTTATTATAATAGGCGTAGTTCATCCTAGGTCCACTTCTTACAGAACCAACATTTAAGGCACTATTTGACCTTATTCTTATTACTGTCAACCGTAGTAAACATTTTAAAACCAACCTCAAACCAGTGTAACTTTCTTTGAAACATTTCATATTCATTCATATTCATGAAGTGATAAAAAGATAATGGAAGAAATTAATTAATTAAAGCATATACACAAATATATAACTCCTAACTTTAAATTATTTATTAAGTCCAACGCCCCCATCTGTTGCATTTATTCATATCAGACCACATAGATTTTTTATAGGATTATAGCTAATTGCAAATATTATTTCTCTAATTCAATTAATTAATTTTAATTGATAAGAATTTACCTTGTAGTGAAATATTCCCATGGTGGATTCGCACTGATTGTAATTAATAAAATCTTGCACCTTTTGTTAACTGGAATCGATAAATTTCATTCAAACGACTAAATTGCGCTCCTGTTTACAAATTTATTTGTAAAGAAGTTGCTTTTAATCTAACTTTAACAGGCTGGCTGGCTGGCTGGCAGCAAATGCGGGCCCGTAGAAGAACGCTTGTAGAAAGACGAGAAGTGCACATGTACCAGGTACCTACCGGCGCGGTGTAATTAACAGCTTTAGGGTCGGGGCTACTCGACGACATCTGGGCGCCATCCCCGACCGTGTTATACTAACGTGGTGTTTTTAGTTTTTTCCCTACCTTCTATAGTTTTGGTCTGATTGTTTCTCGATTGGTGTCGTCAGAAAGATCTTGAGGAGGGTTTTTTTTGCGAAATCCACTAAAATGCGAATTGAGGACATCGGAAGTGGGTACCGGCAAACGGAATGTGATAGCCTTCGACAAGATCTAATAGTGGCTAATAGAATACTGATCTGTCACAAAAAATGCACTGAAATCTCTTCGATCTCACACAAGGAGTTTGATAATTCTTACTAAGTTACTTCCTTACTCTACAATGCAAGGTTTTAACTATCCTCGAGCGCTTTCTTTAAACGTTAAATATCCTTTACTTAAGGACCACATAAAACAATTACCGAATTCTATTTATGTCCCACATCATAAATTATTAGTTTATGTGTTTAAACACATAAACTAATAATTTATGATGTGGGGCATAAATAGAATTCGGTATTAAGATCATAAGGGCTAAATCTGTTTTTTTTAAAAACAACTGGTTTATATGGAAAAGGATATTAGTAATAGTAGTAGATGATACTATTTCGATAACGTTTCGTCTAACCTTTCAATTTGTGAGACTATGGGAATAACTCTCTAGTTCGAGCATAGGTAAGGATTATAGTAATATACAGTAATATTTATTAAGAAGCAAACATAGGGATTTACGTGTATTTTCCCTATGTCTACTTTTAAAAGACAAAATCTCTTCTGAAGGGCACCTATACCAATAGACAATATCAACTTTTTCTTCAGTTGAATACATCGCACACGAATGAAAATAAAAATACGGAACCCAAAGCAACAATATTCAAATTAATTAATGTGACAGCCAAATGTTTATTTGTTTGAAGAAGTTATTTTGGTTGCATTAAATTAGGGGCCCCTCAGAAAAGATTTTGTCATTTAAAAATACACTTAGGGACATATAAATCCCTGTGTCTACTTCTTAATGAATAGCACTGTATATTGCTTTCAGTGAGCTAAAATGCCTATATGGAGAGGGTGCTATAAGCAAAAAAAGCAGTCTGCAATCAAAAACCAAAGTTCCATTGGGTAGCAAAGCAATCTAGTACACATAGGTACCTATCAAAAACAGAAATTCTTTGTTTTCAGGACTGACACTTGGAATACAAATTCAAAAATTTCGATAAATACTATAAATCAAAATTTTATGTGACGTATAGACCTAGTACCAATAATGGGGGATCCTGCAGGTAAGAAATGTAGTAAGTAATTGAGCATTTATTAATATTTGGGAATGTACATAAAGAGGAAAAGAAACAACCATGTAACGCAAGAATTGACGAATTAGCTAAGCCCAACAAGCGACTGCTTCTCGATCTGTGGCAAAACCATGCGTACCATTTCCCAGAAGAACGAAAGGAGGCAATACGTTTGCTGCTTCAAGAAATGTTTGCAATGACGCCCGAGTAAATATGTACTTATTCACTTTGCGCGAATCTACTTTATCCGTCCTTTTTTAGGGAGACGCAGAAGTACTTTGAGGAGATTAGTGAAATTATAAAAACATTGGCAGCGCGGGAAAAAATGAAGAAGAAACTGGTGAGAAAGTACCACATGAAGGTACGAGAAGTCGAAAGAAGGCGCGCTTTGAATAAATTTAGGAAGATATTCATACAATTATTAACTTACGCAAGCAAAAACCCGGTTCCGCCGCTTGTCTCTCCTCGGCTAAGAAGCATGTCGGATTTGATTTTATTCCAAATTTGTGACTTACGTGGGATCGTCTTGCCAGAACGTTCAGATAACGGTAAGTGAAAACCATTCAGGTATTATCTAAGGGGTGCACTTTTAGACAAACAAGCACAATTCCTGTGCAACATCGCAGATTGGGTATCGATAGCTATCGAGTACATATATTACGAAATACACGTGCAGAAGAATAGGGAATTGGAAATAATCGAAGAACAAGTGGATGCGGAAAAAAACTTAGATGCGAATAAAAAGAGCAAGAAAAGAGGAAAAATGTAAAAACGTAATTAGTAAGCGTTTGATAGTAGTCGATGTGTCTGTTATTGATTTTTCAAGTAATTAAATTAACTTTACGGCTTTGTCTTAATCTCATTTACGCGTAATGAATGCGTTGTTTTTTTTTAGCTAGGTACATTCTAGTTTAGTTTTGCATAGGGGAGAAAAATTATTTCAATTTTCAGTGAATGGAAGTTTCATGTGAGTACCCTGTCATTTTATATACCTACTCTTTCACGTTAGGTACCTTTTGGTTTATTTTTCGAAATAATACCATTTTGTTTGTCTGTCTGGTCATCGTGCAATCTGATGGTGCGAGGCACCGTTAGCTACATATAGTGCAACAAGAAATGTATATTCATTTATTATAGCACAGATTATAGTAATTTTTGAAACGAGTAACAAGTGTATTCATAAACGAATTATGTAAAGCGCATTTCAATCAGATGCTATTCCGTATGAATGCGCATCGTTTGAAGATGCAGTTTCCTCGCCAGGAACTAGTAGCTGGAGCGACGTATATTTTATCGTTACGGTAATTACCGTGAACGGCCCTACGTACATACGTATAAGGGTTGGAGTGATGAAAAAATTACATAAAAAGTGAACTAACCGCTCAACAGACGAATGATATACGTTTACACGCTAGTTCTAACCTATGTTATTATGTAAAGAGAAAATTGCGGTGACAGACATTTACTAATCTTCGCAAAAAATCTGTCGTTATCTCTCGGTCTATTTATAATACCGGCCGATTATGTTTTATTCTCATCGCAGAGAATTTCGACGTCGGGAAATCCGGGCTGAGAAAACTTCTTCGCTTGATTCAAGAATTTCTATATTTCTTCGTCTTAAGAGTCTGTCCACTCGATTTGCCGTTTGTCACGGCGGCATGGGTCTTTGAGTTAGTGCGTGTTGGGATTGGGCGGCGTTCTTGAGGAATCTTCAAACCTACGAAGGTCGGGGACGGTGGTTGGTAACGGCAAGTCCTGAAGAGTTGTTATCCTGATGGCGGATGGCTTAACACCTTCGCGTGAGATGTCCATTCCAAGGAATATGAGCGATGGCACTCCAAATCCAAACTCAAAGTCGAGTCATCAGTTATTAAGCGGGCGCGCTAAATAAAATGCTGCGTTTTATGAAATGCAAAATATACAAATTGGTATCCGAAGTGCGCGAGGCGAGCCATGTCGGGGGAGTCAGCGCACTGCGCAGATGCGGGTCTTCTGACTGGTGGAGCGTGACGAGAGGTCGAGATGGCAGAGACAAACTAGTCCTGCAGGCGGAGAGCTGGTTGTTTCTTGAAGCGCCGTCGAAGCAGGAATTGCTTTTTCAGAGTTGGGGGCTCTGCTCATTGGTTACCAGTTTTGACCAGAGAGGGTGCACCACGTTTTAAGTTTGCTGCCGGATGTGCAAATGGCGCGTCGGCACAGACCCTTTGACCATTTTTCAAGAGGTTTTTCACTCTTCGGTCTCTGATAACATAGTTGTCGCTGGCTTTCCTTTCAAAAAGGTAAACTGTTCATAGTGTTAGGGGTTTTCGTCTTGTAAAACACAAATCTTATATTAACGTTAATTAAAAGTTTATGAAGATGAAATATGGCTTTAACACTATAATGGTTCATAAAGATTTTTTTGATTTGGGTTTGAAACTGCTCCGATTCAGTTTTAGAAATGTATCTAGTCTCGCAAAATTCGTGACATGGGTGTAGATTAAGTTTATTCTCTGGAGCTGGAGGATTTACATTGTGTTAGATTCCGTATAGGTTGTTTTGCTTTCAAGTCATTCCATTACAAGTAAAGACTGCAAGTCTGTAATGGTCCTAGGGGTCTATCAAGCCGACACTGAAAACGTTGGCTTACCTTATACTTAACGTTGGCAACTCTGGGAAAAAACTACGAGTAGAGCCACCTACCTTTCAAGTCGAAATGATGGACGTTTCGCGGCACTTTTGATTTTGGATGGTAGTCGGCTCGATATGGATGGCACGAACTCCTACGTTGTGTAATCGGTTCTTGTACGCGTTGGGACGTGAGACATAATCGGGAAGGGAATTAAATAAAAAACAGAACTTTTGTGCGTAAGAAATGACAAGAACAAATAAATATATTACGCACACAACAAGACCATACCAGGGAAACCTTCTACGGGACAAAAACCCGTGCATAGGCCACACAAATACATGAAATAAATCACCTACAGCAACGAAATGCAAGAGAAAGTAAAGTAAAAACACAACACACGAGACGTCATAATGCAGTGGAAAACATGAGGCGCTTTCTTTCGGTTACTTCGCGATCATGATTTTAAGATCGTGATTCGTAGGATCACGTTTTACGAAAGAACGCGCGAATTTAAATCAAAGTATGGTTAAGTTTACATAGTACAAATTTACATTCGAATTACGTATTTTTTGTTTGGATTATGAAAATAATTTAAATACAAGTGGAAGTACTTGCACTTTTATGTTTGCGATTTGAGCAATCATGATCATAAGATCACACTTCGGAAGAACGTGATTTGATAATCCAAACGCGTTTGGATCACCGAAAGAAAGCGTCTATGATAAATCAATGTAGTACAAAAACATAAAAATACATGTACAATCAATTGAGATAACACAACTTGTAAAATAATAAATTGCATGTACATAGGAAACATCAAAATGGCGTGGCTCTACACCAGCCTTCATTAACATAATTTTATTTAGCACGAAAAGTACATGTGAGAATGTCAATAGCAAGTATTCGTGTGGAAGTCGATCATCGCTCAAACAAAACATATTTTAAATAGAAGAAATACAGCGAAACGGTCGAACTGTATTAGGTACCTGGGTATCGATTCCCGAAGTTAGTCGATATGCTCCGTGATGTGCATGTGATGTGACCGGCCGCCATAACGTCATGATCGTATACGATAGGGATAAGTTCAAGTTTAGCTGCATTCCCGAATCGTGGACAAACTTTATATTTTATATATTATATCCAATCACAGACAAGAATTGAACTGTCATTTGTCAGTTTTGTATTTTGTTTTGTTTTTACATTAAGGATACTGCTATTAATAACCAGAAAATCTTCGAACAATTCCATGTTTTATTTCACAGAAAATATGTGAATTTATAGGTTAGGGCACTGAATAACCTCTATAGCAAAACAGCTGCAAGATTCGTCCTGTAGCTGCAACTGCGCATGACTTTCACGCAACGAGTGGTCTAGACCAGTCGTTGCGTTCGATTAACTTTTCGCTCGATGTGGTAGGTTCGAGAATGCAGTGACATTCACGTTCACATCAAGGTCAGTCGATGTGAACAAAGCACATCTTCGGGAATCGACGCCCTGGTCCACGGAGACAGGTTGAACCACTCTCACACAGATACATCAAATAAGAGAGCCCCCCTTTTCGTAGAGCTAACGCACAAGAACTGTGGCGCACCATGAATAAGAAAGTAGGTGACAGATACAGCGAACAATCAAACTGTATTAGGTACGTTCCTCACAGAATAGTTACGATTCAATCGAGCAGAGTAACATCATACTAATAATCGACTCCTCGTGAATACAGACAACAAGCACGATTCTTTTAACGGTACTCAAAACAAAAGGGCATGGAGTACGCCATGATTGGATATCGGCAGTTTACATGCAACATCAGCAAAATGTAAATAATATCATATTGTGACGAGAAATTCAATGATTAATAGTTAGTACAAAATAGAATAAAATGGTTACTACCTGTAAATAAATACACCTTCAAAACACAACAAACTAAATAATCAAGAAGAAAAACCCAGGAAGCGTGATGCCCTCCATCGACTCCGTCGCCATCTTCGTCCTTCCGCCACGTTCGTACAGACCATTATCATATTTTTGTTTTAGATGTAAAGGTGTGTTGCCTAACCGTAAGGGTGACAAGAGGGAGTAAGTCTTTAGAGGGTTCGGTTAGGGTTAACTCCCATAGTCAACGTGGTCGGATTATACGGTGCCGCCTTTCACTCTCCACAATCAGCGTTTCCTAGAGGACGCTTTTGCTGGTAAAGCATTTTTGAGGTGTAATTACGTTGATTGCAAATGAAACTTTTGCAAGTGTATTTTCTTTTTAAAATTGCGGTCTTCTCTCACCTGTATTAATTACTAATGTGCTGCCATCACCATCAGTGAGTAGACGTCTCATTGTAAATCTGAATTGCGAATTTTTCTTTCTTTATCGTCTCCCGACAATGGAAATGGATCTCGACGAAATTAGATTTGTCCACACGTGACACGGTACATTTGTAACATACTTATAATTAACAGTTTTAAATAATTAGTTGTAAATCTTGAAACGCCTTACGTTTTCCTCAAGGCATTGATTATACTCACCACGTATAATCGATGCTCAAAGTAAATGTAATTCCTGCAATAAATAATTCAGTGAACGTCCATGGTGGATAATCCCAATGCGACGCCTATGCAAGGTTACTTTTATGCATTTTGGCAAATTGGTCTATTGAGAATTTGGCGCAACTCGAATCCTTCAAATCCTGTGCTTTATCAAAATGTCGCCTTCGCCAGTTTGTGTTTTGTGTTCATTGAGGTTCGTTCGCTAGTTGTGATGTAGCTTCGTAAATAAACATGCTTCTTTATTGATCATTAATATTCCGTGCAGCCCTCTTTTACGTTCAATTTTGTTAAAAACGTTTCAGTTAAAGTATGCGCGTCTGTTGTCAACAGGTTCGTTGAAATTTTCAGTGTTTCTAGTTGAAGATGACCAAAAAATTCGAATTCGACTGGCACGTCCCCGTACCGGAGCCCCTTCTGACAGGATGCGTTTTCGATCGCTGGACCGAGGAGAAGGACAACGTCGACTACGAACCGAATGCCCTATTTCGTGTAGATAAATATGGGTTCTTTATATACTGGAAGAGCGACGGAAAGGTATGCCTTTTGGGATGTTGTACCCGATTCGTAATTGTAAAACTACTAGGATGGGGATGTCATCGAATTGTGCCAAGTTAGCGACGTACGTGCCGGTGGCTTGCCCGTCGATCGAAAGCTGCTTTATAACCTTGCAAAGCACGGGAACGACTTGGAAGAGAAATCATTAACAATTTGCAGCGGCACCGACTATATAAACATCAATTATCAACACATTATTTGCCCGGATGTTCAAACTGCTAAGGTAAGTGGATAATTAGTTTACATTACTTCCACCAGTAATTAAGGATCTCCGCTTCTATTTGACAGTCGTTCAGTCGTATGATAATTTCAGGGTTTCACTTTCAGTAATTTTGGTCCAACCAAAATGTGTGTTTCTGATAGTGCAGCGGCTTGCATTTTTAAGGTAGATTTTTTCGGAGTAGAAGGATGCGACCCACACAAATCAATGGACGTACCTATTAGAATTTTGCTGTAGGACATTTTCCAGTCTGGTCGTGACAAATGATATTATCCCTCGAAGTCGAGCTCGAAGTTGACGTTTGTGGTTTTGTGTGCGTGGAAACAGCAACGAAACTACATTTTCCCTGCAACCAAACAACACAGAACAAGGTGAAAATAGAAATCATTTATTCACATTTCCTTTTGGAAGGTTTTGCTGAATCAAGCAAACACAAAAGAAATCACATAGGTATGCAGATGATAAAATTTTACAGAATGAAACTCCAAAAGAAATTTGGAAGAACTTTCAACAGATATACGTAGGTAATAAATAATATAAAGTAAATATGGAACAAGTTAAAATAGTAAAAAAATCAATTATTACATTCCCTATACCTCTGCGAGCCTATGCTGTCTGTTTCATTTTGCAAGGGTCGGGGATGGGTGTCAGTAAAGTAGTGGGAGATTGGTTGTTCCGAGACTACCGTTTGAGAATTCGCGTTGAGCCGTAGGCTAAGTTAAGTGAGCCACCTGTAAATCATCGGAGGCTGTGTCTTATTTGTAAAAAGAGTTACCTGTAAATTAGCACAGGGTGGTTTTATATACTGGGATGAGACCCTAATAATCCAGAGTGTATTACTTTCGAAAAATTTTGTGTTCCTATGTTAGCGAAGTTAAATTAAGTACATGTAAAGTTTTGGTGACCTCCAAATGTCATGACAATTTACGACTTAGAAACTATTACGGTAAATAGGTACGAACTATAGTGGAAGATTTAAACGTACAGAATTAAAATTGCGAGATCTTAAATAAAGTCCATATGTGAAATAGAGGATATTGTTGCGAATAGGGACAACAAATTAGAGGCGCGAAATTAAGTTCTGCCATCTCAGTATGGGGAATGGTTGAAGATCTACATTTCCCGATGAATCGCCAAATTTGGAGTGTCTGTAATTTGAACTGCCCGTCAAAGATGCCATTCATTATACCAGACCTAGGAATTTGTATCGGCGTTGTTGGATCATACATTTGAATCAGCCAGTACTTCGAGATTGTACGACAAAGAGATATCGCCATTAGTATTGCTGTATAGTTAAGGTAGTCATTTTATTATATTCAAAACGGTACGTAAATTTAGATTTTAATCAGTCAAATCCCAAGAGAAATCAAATTGTATAAAATTTTTGCATTTGTGGACCCAGGCAATTTATTAGTAGATAACGAGAATCATGCAGCTGGATAGATATATTTTATTTTTAATATTGTAAATTGTTAGGTAAAGGCTAGAGTAAAGGTGATAGTAACCATTTTCATTATAACTCAAGGAAGCGTCAATCCGAGGTTAAATCTAATTATAACAGTACACACTTTGAATTAAAATAATTACGCTATATTGAAGGAACTAACAAAATTGAAATCGATGTCTGAAAGTGAACGAATGTCTTAGTAAATCATTGTTTCAGATGTGGGTTGTTTGGTTGTTAAGCAAAGCAATGGTTGTGTTGGTATTCGCTCGGGCGAAAAAAAAAATCAATTTCACGATCACTGGAAAATATCGTAAACTGCAATTCTAATAATTGATTGACGACCGGTCTCAATTCTTTGTACTCCTAAAAAATTGTTCGAGCTGCACTATGAATTTTGCATGGTCTATAATATTATGTATCTAGATATTTATTAATGCACGTTTTCTCGTAGTAATTAATGCTCACTTATTAATTATTTAATTAAAGGTTTGGTTGGATGGCTTGAGAAAAATTACTCATAATGTCAAAGCCAATAACTTCTGTCCCATGACTTGTTTGAAAAAACAGTAAGTTTGACGTTTAACTCTTCGCATGAAACGCATGCCCTACTAACAAGTTTCGATATATATTTTTTTATATTTTAGCGCCTCATGTCTCTAGTTTTTAATATATTTGTTTTTCTTTATTTTGCTTTGCATGCATACAGATATGGAAAGAAGGATTGCGAAGCATTACTCATAACAATAAAATTGTAAATGTGTGCCCTCGCACTGCTTTAATGAAACAGTAAGTGTGCTTTGTATATTATACGATATTAAATTAGTTCTTTGGTGCACCAATATATTTTTATAGTAACAACTAAGTTTGAACGTAATGGAATAATTGAATTAACCTCTTTGTAACGAAATTAATGCGTCCAACAGCTTCGTGTTCTATTAGTTCGGTACCCCTAACCGTGTTTTCGTACCTATCAAAATTGAATTTGCAAAATGAAAGCTTATCGTGTAAGTATTGTTCGCAACGAGAACTCCACACAATCGTGTCGTTCTGATAAGCTTGTTCTAGTTGAGGTATTGACCAGGTATCGCATTGTTTTGCGCTAATTTACTCTACGCATTGTAAAGGACCGATACTGTGATTGATGTACGAAAGTTTATTGTTTTGAGTGCTCAAAACGAACAAGTGAAAAAAGTAATCGTAAACGATTTACATAAAGCGCATTTCCACTTGCATTCATTTCCAATTTTTAAGATGCAACTTCTGTTAAAATCGTATAAATCCGGCCACAAATATGAAAGTTCGCGTTGCATAGGTGCAATCAATTTTCGATGTGCTACTTCAATTTCAGTTTATAAGAAGAATTTCATTTCAATGCTTTCATAAATAAGAAAGTTGGCACTGCGCATGCGCAAACCTAAATTTTGAAACTAACATTAGATTTTCCTTTGTTTCAAGTGGCTAACGGAGATGTCAAAGGGATCGGACATTTCTAAACAAAGTTATCGTTAACACGGACAGATAGATGGACAGACAGACAAAGGAACAGACGGACAGACCACCATACAGACGACAGACAGCAATACAAAATTATAAACGATCTCTAGGATCGTTAATCAACGACAAAAGTGTAAAATTATGAAACATGTAAAATATGGTTTTTTGGTTTTTTTACAATACCGTTTTTAGCAATGAATCCAGAAAAAATTCCTTCTTTGGTGCAGGCCTCGACACCATAACGAACTAAATAGCGAAAAAAGTAGAACAATAGCTCTTAAGATAAAGAACTAGTAGCGTCCCAACTGATGGCCGGACGGATAGACGGACGGACGGACAAAGCGGATACAATAGGGCATTTTTTTTGTGGAAATGCGCTAAAAACATACTTTCAAACAAGACTGTTTGGTGGAACGCCCTGTATTTCACTCAGTTACAAATACAAATAAGTAAAAGATTGGCAACTCACGTTTTCCCCAATTAGCAGTTTCCTTTCAGTAGGTATAAACTGTTCTTTTTTAAATTCGAGTCATTTGGCGAGAACTTGGGCGACAATAACATTCCGCTCGGTATTTGATTAGGAGCAGTTTCACCCCATGCACCAAGTTTTCTTGAACTTTCTAGACTTGTGCGCCTATAAGACGCTGTTATGTTACAGTATACGGTAAGTGTTCTAATTATTCCTTTTTTTAGAATATGTATACAAGGTGTCTTAAATTGAGTAAGATAACATGGCTATCTTTGTTATTATTATACTTACAGATTTGGTTAAATTGGCAAAGTTGTGTAGTTTTTTATGTTAATGGATATTCCGATGCGATATTTTGAAAAAAATAAACCGTTTCGTAGATAATTCAAAAAAAGTGAAAATCGCCATTTTTAAAAAGTTCAAATATTTTACTAACAAAGAGAGCTATCGAAAAAAGTTTCACATAAAAGTTGCAAGATTCGATGGGATAAATTCAATGAAAGTAGAAAAAAATGAGTACATATTTCATTTGGGAATCAACCTTACATTTTTGCCTCGAAGTTTACAATGTATTTCTTATGACATTAATTCCTAACACGAACTTCACAACCACCAAGACTGATTGTCTTTCACAAAAAAAATTTAAGCCCTGTTTTTCGAATCCCTCTCCAATTGAAAACAGGCTTCCCTTTATTCCTTTCGATCTTTCTTCTTTATCATATTGTCAACATTCGCCAATGAAATTCACTTTAGCCACCAGCAAATTTCGAAAGAAAAAACGCCGGCACCTTCATTCGTATCAACTAACACCTGTGTTTACTTCGGCGAACACCTGTTATCTTCAAATTAATTAGCTTTTACGAAGCGATCACGAAGTTCTTATCGCAAGTCCGGATTTAAATAAGATGAATTTAAAAAAACAACGCAATTATTTCCAAATGTCGCTCAACTTTCTTAACTTAACAATAAATCACTTAAAATAAAAGGCGATTATTTTAAAAAAATCTAAAACAAAACAACATTGACTACAAATTCAAATAACGTGATCGAATTTGTGTTTAATACAAATCAACAACCACATTTAACCTCAAACAAGTAGAAATTGTGCACAACTCTTGTGCAGATAAAGCGCATTTTTAAGCCGAAATAGCTTTTATTTTGACGTCACCAATGGATATATTTCTTGTAGACTGGTGCTATTGAAATTTTTTGTGCTTTTGAAGCTCTTAAATCTCGTGCAGTTCTAGACGGTCCTAAAGCTCATGAACCTTCTTGAAGTTCTTAAACGCTTTGCAACTCTTGAGCATCTCGTAAAGATATTGAGACTCTTTTGAAGCTTCTGACAATCCCCATTCTCTTAAACCACTTAAAAACACTCATTGCAGCACTTGCAGCTTTTTAAACTCTTCTTGGAGCTCCTGAAGCGTCCTCGAAATACGTGAAGTCATTGGAGCTCTGAAATTTCTTGAAACTTCTAGAGCCTTTCAGGGACTTGAAACACTTAAAGCTCATAACATTTTTTAACCTTTCAAAGCTACTTCAAACCCTGAAGGCCTTGCAGCCCATAGAGCTTCAGGATTTCTTAAAGCTCTTGAAACCTGTGGATCTCTCAACATTTTTGAATTTCTTCGTGCTCTTAAAGCTGTGAGAACCTTTAAACCTCTTGAAGTTATCGAATCTCGTATCCCTTAAGGCAACTGATTAAAGACTTTGGAACTTTTGAAGCCCCATATATTTCACTACGCCCTCAATTTTCCTAACTTTAAAGTTCCGTAGAACCATGAAGTTACTGCTGCTCCTGAAGCTTTTGCAGCTGAAGTTCTTGAAACTCTTGAGCCTTTATTGATATTATAGAAATCCCTGAGGGCCCTGTAGCACGTGAAGCTTTTAACCTTTAGAAACTGATTAAAACCCAGAAGTTCCTGAAGCTCCTAGGCCACTTGAAGTTCGTGGATGAGGATTCTTGAAGTTCCTAAACTTTTTGATCCTATTGAAACTCTTGAAGCTTCCAAAACCCTTCAATCTGTAGATCCCATTCCTAATGAATCTCATGCTGCTTTTAAGGAGTTTTCTAGTTTTGGAAGCTCTGAAATGTCTTAAAGCTGTTGTAGACGTTGAAACTTTTGAAGTTTTTTTGAGCCTTAAAGGTCTTGAGATCCTTTAGTGTCTTGAATCACTTTAAAACTTTAAGTCGTTTAATCTCTTGAAGCTCTTGGGTCGTCTCAATCGCCCTTTGTGAGTATCCTCTTCCGACAATCCGTTCTTGAGGTGTAAGGGAATATACCCGATCACGATAAGAGGTCGAGGAGGAGGGCTATGGTTATGGTTGGTACAAATTAATTCGTTTCGTTGAGACCTTTCATTAGAGTACCATGAAGGATCAAACTAGTTCCACTCCCCCCCGCCCCCTTCCACCCCGTACTTTCGTAAGAGGACAAGGACAGAAAGAAGGGCAGTAGTTGGTAGAAATCGATTCCTTTCGTTGAGACCTTTAATTAGAATACAATGAGAGGTAACGTTCATTTTTAACCCCCACCCAAGGCCCTGTCGCTCACTGATCTCGAAAAAGAGTCGTCCGGGAAAGTTATAGTTTGTACAAGTCAATTTATTTCGATGAGACCTTTCGTTAGAATACCATGAAGGGTAGAACATCGAAACGGCAGAAGTGGGTCCGGACGGACGGACAAAACGCAAACGATAGCACATTTTTTTTTATTCTTAAAATTTGCCCTAAAAAATTGATAGTTAACGCATACAGGATGACCCATCATTAGTCTGCGTGACGTAGTTTACATAAGAACATTTTTCTGAAGCATCGTATACACATACGCGTGTAATTCGTTTGGCCCGTGAAACTATAAGTCTGTAAAAAATTACAAAATTTGCATGCAATGTGTAATTGAACCATGTGAATTAATTTAATTTTAGTAGAATCAGTAACACTACCTTACATTAGTAAATTATCATCACAATATTTGGGAATTTTATTTGGTAATAAATGATGTCATAACCCAAGGTTGCCACATTTAAACAATTTTTTTAAATTAAATTAATGACGTAGGTTTTTGCGTTAGATTTTGTAATAAAAATTACATTTATTTTCGGAAAATGTAACGGTCCGAGGTAGCCATAATAGGAAAATATAAAATGGTTTATTACTATCATTACCATGTGAATGTTTAAAAGATAGCATTGATATTAGTCCTCTTTCATGATTTGGTCATACATCGTAAGTGGAACAATTCTTTATGAATATACATAGTAACGAATTTGTCCTTCTAAAGATTTGAGCGACACTTTCGGGGCAATTTTTAAAAAAAAATATGAGGAACCAGTAGGTAATTAAAATACTGGAAAACTGTGACACGAATAAAAAACATTTTTCAGATTTGTAAGAAAAATGCTTAATTTATGCTAACTAATTCGCGACCTTGTTGAATCTACCATTACATTGTTAATAAACCCGCCTTTACTTTAAAATACGAATTTTTGGTAAGCATTTGAAATTGAATTGGTTTAAACAACTTGATGGTCATTATCGTTATTGTGCAAATTACAACCCAAACATACGCAGTAGCCAAGTTAGTCAGTAATAGGTATTAC